CAGTGGTTATCAGCATGTACTCTTCCCCACACCCACCTCAGGGAGTCCACAGCCACCAGTAACTCCAGCTCCAGGGGGACCTGGCGCCCTCTTCTGGCTCCCATGGGCACGAGCACTCATATTGCAACCCTCTCCCCCCACCCCGACACATATAATTAAAAATAAAACAAATATTTTCTAAAAACAGCTGCTAATAAGCCAGGCCTGGCTGCACACCCCTCAGCCCTGTGGGTCCCCACTGCCAAGTGTGGCTCTCAGTCCTGCGGGGCTCACTGCCCTGGCCTAGCATGCCATCTGGGACTCTAGAAGCCTCTCTGCTAGCTCTCTCCTCACAGCTCTGGACCGCACAGAGCACACACACAGCTGACAAGAGAATTTAGCACACATCAGCAGCTGATTGAGAACTATTTTATTTGAAGACATCTCCTTCCAAAGAAACAAAATGAATACAGGCTGTGGTTCACGAGCGTCAGACACGTAATCATTGCTGTGGTTGTGTGACAACGTCAATGTGTGTGTATATTCCACACTCCAAACTACGGACTCAGTATGACCTTTCAAACAGAGAGTGTGTCAGCCGTGACATAACGTAACTTGAAGATTATCCTTTACCGTAAAAATGACAACTAGATAAGAAAAAAACGGAGGGCAGGGACACGCCCACCCTCAAACGACACAGACTAAAAATTACACTCCCCTTTGCATTGCCAGTGACAAACTGTTTAAGGCGCCAACCAGCCCTACGGGAACACGAAGCACCCTGGGCTTCGCACGTGGACCCTCTGTGACATTTCACAAGCTTCCCGTAGGAATGGGCAAACACGGCCATGTCAGCGTGGCGGTTGCTGTGTACTTGCTGTTGTGTTCCCAAACCAACAAAACAAAGTGAAGAGCAAACACGTACACACAGCATAGGGTGGGAACCACTGGGTGAACCAGCAAGGTAAACTCAACCAGTCAGCAGGCAAAGCGTCCGGGGGTGGGGGTGGGGGGGGGTTCGATGCAGAGCACTTCCGCGGGAATGTCTTCAAGGCACGGGCTTAAAGGCACCAGCGCTCAGCTTCCGGACACCAAACCCTCACCTGGTTACCTACTGTCTGTCACCGTCACTGGAACCATCCGTGGGTTACAGTGCTGAGTGAATTCTAGCAAAAACAGATTCCACCTCATTCTTATGTTTTCACAAACTGTGAAGTGCAAGGAGTATAAAAAGTATTAACTTTTAAAAAAGCACATAGTAAAAAAAACAAAACAAAATAAAATAAACGAACACGGGATGTGATGTTCAGATTTACGGACAAACCAGCTCCCGCGATTCTTAGTAAATCACAAGGCAGTGGGAACATCAGGCCAAGATGCAGGAGGCCACCAGACTGAGCCTTGTGTGCCCGACTCAAGCAGGCATCTTTGACAGCTCACTGCTTCCAGAGATCATGCTCCCTCACGCCCACTGTCTCTGAAACAAGGGTGGGAACCGGCATTCATTACACTCTGGTAGGCTAGCAGGGATGCTGGTAGCACTGACTGACAGGTCTTCTGAGGGCAGAGGGGGAGGGGCACACACCTCATACCCCCCACTCCTAGTCTAAGAACAAGTGGCACCCTTCAGCAGACCCCTAGGTCGGCGGTGCTAACCCATGCTCACTAAACACCGTTTGACAAAGACATCAGAGCCCCTCCTATTTACCTCTTCAGCCAAACAGGCTTGGATTTTACCTGGAAATCTGAAGACCGCACCCCTAATGCTCCATAAACAACATCAGTACATGTTTACCCCTGGTCAGAGCTGCAGTACCCTCTCCCTTGTATTCTGCATTCTGGTTACAGAGCTGCAGCACCCTAACCCTCCTCAGCCTGAATGAAAGCCTAAGGCATTTGGGATTGCTTGGTTTCTTGGCTTTAGAAACAAAACAAAACAGAAAACAGCAGGGGGAGGTGTCAAAGTCTCTTTGGTTTCGTGCTTAATCTTAAGCCTTTTGTTACTTGTGGTCATCCACCTAGATTCTTGGTTGTTACATTTTCCCGCAGACTGCACAAGTCAGGATTCTCACACAGTCATCTCAGAACCTTTCCAGGGTCAGCGAGAAACCTCTTAAGTAGGAGCCCTGAGGTCAGGGAAGCAAACACCTTCCAGCAGCCCACACTACGCTGCCCTCAACACCAGCCTGTAAAACACAGCTCTCATTGAGTCTCCGCCCAGACACTTTCTGCCACACAATGGGAGTCAGAGCCCCTCAGAAGCATCTGAGAGAAGACAGTACCACACAAGGAGCTGCCTGAAGGAGGGAAGGGTTTCAGAGACACCGCCATCTAGCCCAAGACCAACGGGTACCAGCAGAAGGCAGCACTGAGCTAGAGTGCTCCCAGAATACCCAGACAGGTGAAGGGCTCAGGCAGATGGACAGCGTAAGAACCATCCACCCAGTCCTGCAACATGCATGCCTCCTTCCCCAAGCACAGCGGGTAGCAAGAATAACAAAGTCCTGTCGGGCAGTCTGTGCACCTAAATCCTCATACCACAAGCTAAGAGCTTTGTGGAAAACTGTGGAACGACTCCATTGGTCCAAGAATCTGGTTGCAGGCCTTGGGAAACGCAGCCAAAGATGGCCCTTGGGAAGAGAGCAGGTTGATGGCAGACACAACAATGCACTTTTGAGCTCCCATCTTTGTCCAATGCAAATTCAACACCCATCTCCTCTGAATGTGGGGACTGGGCTGTGTAAAGTGATAAAGTGTAGAGCCACAGTGGCAAACATAAATTAGATTTTTAAAGTGCAATAATGGCATCATAGACTCCCTAAAATTCAACTCTACAGTGAAATATAAATTAAATCTATTATATAAGTACCATTTTTGGTGAAGATTTCAGTTCAGGATTTTTTTGTTTTGCTTTTTTGAAAAGAACTCAGCAAAAACAATTTTAAAAGTAATAAAGACAGGAAGGAAGGCATGCTTGCAAGAGGCCTACAATCCCAGCACTTGGGAGACTGTGCCGAGAGTCCCCAGTGTGGAGCCACCCTGGGCCGTACGGCAATGGCCTGCAAGCTTCCAACAGTGCTATAATAAGCAGGTTACTGACTGGACAGCTATTAGTAGGTTTGGTGACAAGACACTGAAATCTGTCACTATGGCCCAAATAAACATTAATACATTTTGTTTGGTTGGTATTTTTGAGACAGGGTTTCTTTGTGTAGTTTTAGCTGTCCTGGAACTCACTCTGTAGACCAGGCTGGTCTTGAACTCAGAACTTTTAAATAGTTGTGCAAATAGGATTTTTGTAACTAGGCTCTCTGGGCATATTAGAGGCATGACTATAAAAAAATCCCTGAAGTGACTCCCTCATGACACTGAAGACCTACGGGGAGTGGGGAGGGTCAATCTCCCCCCACCCCACCCATGACCAGCCACTGGGAGAGCAGCTGTGTGAGCAACGACACTACCTGCAGTTTTTGTTTCCTATGAAGCTTTCTTAACTGTGCAAGGCGGCTGTCGCTAAAAGGGCACCCACTGGCCACTGCTGGCTCGGTTAGCCAACTCCACTACAAGATGGCAGCTGGTTGTAGCACATGCTGTAAGCAAGGGCCTTGCTGCTGCTGCTGTAAGTGCTGCAGATTAAACCTGGGACCTCTCTCTCCTGCATGCTAAGTGGGCCCTTCAGATTTTTAAGAAACACGGCCCACAATTGGCAGGCCCCTTGGCTCACTGCGAACTGACTTGGTGAAATCTCTAGAGCTGCTCCCTGCCGTCAGCATGAAAGCCATGAGTCCAGCACCCCACCTCAGACACGCCTCGGGTTATTAAAGCCGCATCTGTAAAGCCCCTGCTTCCCAGCACAAATGGGCTACAGCCAACCTTGCCTTTAAAAGGCAAAGTAACACAACTGCGTATCTGAGACTAAGTTAGGAGGAACCCTCATCTAAATGTGCAAAAGTTTTGTTTTTTGTTTTTTGTTTTTAATTTTATTTTAAATCTTGAAACAAGATCTAAGTCAATACATTCAATAAAAATAACTCATAAAAGGCATGTCTTCCTTATGTGGTACTCCCTCATTTAAGACTTAATTTATAAAATGTTAATAGCAATCTTCTAAAAGCAAAGGCCCCACAATGCTGGGCCTGTGACCTATGTAGACCTGCATTTGCCACATACAACATAACAGGTTGATGAGTCTGCTCACACAGCCTCTTCAACTACAGGTAGACTGGAGAAGTAGCCAAGACTACGCTTACCCACGTTTTTTTGGATGGACCCTGCATGGCGGCCATAGTTTGTGGACCCCTGAGGATAGCTATGACTGTGGCCAACTCAACATCAGAACCTTACTTAAAAACATGAGGAGTTTTTTTTTTTTTTTTTTTTTTTTTTAGGTAACTCCATTGTGCACAAACTTTATAGGCGGTAATGTGATTTCTAAACGTCAAAAGGTTGGAAACACCTGTTAGGGTTCCTGAAAACAAATATACAATAAAATGCCTAACCAGAAAAACCGGACGGCAGCGGTGACCCGGGGGGGGGGGGGTGCTGGAGGAGTGCGGAGGTAGCTCCTAATGCTTGTCAAAGAAACTAAAGGGGAAATGGGAATCTACTACTAATGACGTCTCAGGGAACCAAAAGAAATAGTAGTTTAAAGCCATCTTTACTGGACTAGCGAGAGGCCCTAGGATCCGCTCCCAGTGGATCCCGCTCACAAAACAGAGCTGACCTTGGCCCTTAAGGAGCAGACCCCAAGAGTATACTTTTTATGCTGGGTTTTGTTTGTTGGCCCGAGATAGTTAGGTTTGGATGAATACTTGTGACATTTGTTCCCATGACGTAGAAAACAACCCAAGGAATAACGTTGGTTTCTTTCCCCCGAGTTTTCAAGTAATTAGTTCAAGAAAGCTTACTTACAGCCGAGCCTCCTACATACGTGGCCTATGTTAAGTCTACTTTGCCCCTTCGGGGTTCAGGATTTCAAAGGGTTGCCTTTTTACCCCCCCTTGAACCAGATCTGTCCTTTAAATGCTGTTGAATCTATCACTCAGGTCTCTGCTTTGTTGGGTAGATAGAGAGAGGAAATCAGTAAGTTGTGTCCGAAGGCTGGGAACCGCCGGAAGGCTTCCCAGCTGTCCGCAAAGATGTTGTACTTGAGGAACACTCGGTGCTCCAAGCTGGTGGACAGGGTGACGTCCCTGCTCATGATGTAGATGCCGTCATTGTGCAGCGCACATGTCAAGTTCAGGCCCGACTTGGACGTGTTCTCCTTCAGGTAGAGCCACTGCCGAGTGACGGTGTTGTAGGACTGCACGGTGAGCATGTCCTCGCTCTGGCTGCTCCTGCGGTTGGGACCCAGTTCATGGAGACATCCACCCACGATGTAGATGGTGTCCTCCACGGACACCATCTGCTGCTTGCGGATGTGGACGTCACAGGTCTCAAACAGCGTCCAGAGGTCAGAAGAGGGGCAGTACTGCAGGATGTTCATGTTGCGATCTGAAACACACCAAGAGGCAGGCAGGTCACACATGCCGCCCGGGCAGTGGGGACGCGTCACCCTCCACACACACCACGTGGCCACGGGCAGTTGAAGCTCGGCCAGAAGGGCAGGGGACGGAGAAACTGTTTCGTGAAAGGACTGGAATGGGCCATCTGGGTTCCTCTACTGGGTCCCTCTCAGACACTCCCTTCTCAGGAGGCCCTCAGAGCCACAGAGCCAGAAGCCAGGCGTCGTGGTTCGTGCCCACAATCCCAGCACTAGGAAAACCTGCACAGGAGGACCATGAGTCTGAGGGCAGCTTTGACTTAAAGACAACTTGTGGGTGCTGTTTTAGATGGACGGCTACGGTGAGATGCTGCAGGCCTCAGAGCTGAGCCACGGCACCTCTGAGGGAAGAAGTAACCTCAGCAAGCCCCGGCTGCCTCGGGGCAGGCTCACGCCGCCGTAGTGAATGCTATGCTTTTATGGGTAGCTCAGGCCATCAGAACTCCAGTGGCCTATGCCGCTTTACACAAAATAGAAAACCCACGTTGTAAAACGCACTCCTTGGCAAAATGACAGTATGCCCACCTAGATATCCAGGTGAGCCCCACACAGGTGTGATACCTGGCCAGGCCTGCACAAACAGGATCCACAGCACTGACTGACACAGGGTTGCCTGCCTCAGGAGAAAGGGCTATACCACTCTTAGAATGCCTCATAGGGCTCTGCTCTCCACCACCGGCCTGCACAGCCAGACCACAGTGGCATCCGGCGGAGCCACAAGATCAGCACACAGCCTCACACCAGGCAGGCCTATCCTGTCAGCCTCAGACCCTCAAGGCCAGCTACAGGATGCCTGACTACACAAGACGGGGGTCTAGTCCCAGCAAGGCCTGTCCTCGAAAACCCTAAAAGCCAAGCCAAACGCCAACGTCAGCAAAGCAGGTTTCCCTGTTAGGAGACTCAGAAGTCTCAGCTCCTGTTGGCTACAGCAGCAGACTCACAGATCTGCTTCCCAACTGTAGCACAGAAGACCCGCCAAAGGCCCCCAAAGGCCCTGCCTCTTGCTGCCTGGTGGTCATGTGGCCAAAAGCCTCCTCTGTCTTTGTTTTTAACTAATACCTAATTGCTTTGAGGAAATGCATAGTCTCTCTCTCTCTTTTTGAAAACAAAATTGCCTGTCATTCCAGTTACTTGGCAGGCTGAGGTAGGAGGATTTCAAGTTGAAGCCTAGCCTGTGCTACAGAGTGAGCAACTTAAGTTGAGCTTCCACCTCGAAGTAAACGTGAAATGAAGGCCAAGAACCGAGAGCTCGCCAGTGTGCATGAGGCTCCCAACAGTGCAAAATACGAAAAACAGAAAATAACGCCGTGGGTTTCAAAATACAGGGCTTCCCTTTCCTCTTTCTAAACTCATTTTTAAAATCTGTTCTTCTCTGGGAAAGCATGAATAGTCTTAGCTACAGCAAGAAAAGGAAATTATTAGCAATCCCCCCAAAAATGAAGTTCACGTTTGTTATTGTTAAACGACAAAAAACTATCAGTGGAGAAAAAAACGGCTATGGGTGGGGGCCAGCCCATCACAAACATCCATAACGGACCCGCCCATAGCAACGGACCCTCCCACAGAAACGGACACGCCCACAGCAACGGACCCGCCCACAGCAACGGACCCTCCCACAGAAACGGACACGCCCACAGCAACAGACCCGCCCACAGCAACGAACTCACACAAAAGTAGACCCTCCCACAGCAATGGCACAACAGCAACAGACCCTCCCATAGCAACTGGCCTGTCTAAAGCAATGGTGGACCACACACCCACCGCCTCCCCCCACCCCACACACACACCTCACATGTGTGTAAAGAGCTTCACCGTCAGGCCTGGTATGATGGAGCTTATCTGTAATCGTAGCACTCAGAGGCTGAGGCAGGAGGATTGCACAGTTGGAGCCTTGGCTACATCATAAGACCTTGTCTCAGAAAGAGAGAAGGGGGTAGGTATAGACAGATGGACAAGCAAGCTCCAGAGCCAAATCTGGTTCCAAGCTAACAGGGCACGGCGAACCCAGGTCCTCAGTGGATGCTGGTCGCGGTGCCCTCTAGCTTTCTGCCCACTGGGAAACCACCTGTCTGGCCCTTGTGAAGGTCTGCTCCTATCTCTTCACAGACTCGATAACAAAGGTCACGCCAGGAGACAGACATGGAGGCCTGGTTAATCTACCAAGGATGCCTGGACATTCTCCTCTTCCCACTAGCCTGCAGGTCTTCCTGGGTCTTCTACAAGCTACCCTCCGGCCACTACAAATCGGTCCACCTGGTAGGATCAATCCACTTAAAATGGGTTCCTCTGCCTTTTGGGGTCACTAGGATTTCCTACCAAATTTGTGGTTTGTTTTTGTTTTTTGTTTTGTTTTGTTTTGTTTTGTTTTTTTTGTATTTTGAAATGATGTCTTATTCTCTGGCCTGTATTCAGCTGACCTGGAACTCACTAGGTAACCCAGGATGGCTACCTGGGTTGTAGAAATCCTCCTTCCTCAGCCTCCCAAGCGATGAGATGATGGAGAAGGGGTTCTACACCTGACACCTCCATTTCTCCCCTGCCTGGCAAGAACCAGGTGCACACTTTTAAGCCCAGCAGAGGTGGGTGGGTCTTTATGAGTTCATGGCCAGTCTGAGCGATATAGTCAATTCCAGGGCAGCCAGGGCTACACAGTAGAGAAATCCTGTCTCAAACAAACAAACGAATGAAAAGTCACGAATCATTATTTAGTGAATTTCAAGTCTCTTTTAAGATTCCAACTCAAGTCCTAGTTTTTATTTCTTCTTGGTTGTTTTGTTGTTTGCCTTTCTCAGGACAATTAGGAAACCCTGTTTGAAACAGGAACTATCGGGAAGTGTTGGAAAAGTCAGACAAAGAAGGACTAGAGGACAGCAGTGTCCAACCCTCTCAGCTTAGAACACAAACACCCATCCAGCCCCTCCGCCTGACCGCCCATCCTGGTCTCTGGCACAGGGAATTCAGGACGGACATCATCCTGGGTGGCCCAAGTGAGGAAGGCACACTAGCGGTGGCTTGAGAAGCTCAAAACACACAAGAAGGATTTTCCAGGTCAAATCTACAGCCCATTTGCTCAGCCAAGGTCATGGAAAAGCCAGGAAATCTACCAGAAGAACAGTGCCATCAGTAGGACTTAGCAGCTCCTGCATGCAGGAGAAGCTGAGGGACACGGGTGTCATGTCAGCCATGTGCCTCATCTGCACCTGAGGCTCAGGCAGGAAGACTGAGCTACAGAGACCTATACCATGGAGCACGCCGGGGTAAGACCTTGCCTCAGAATACAAACCACATAACCTGAGAGAAAGGAGAAATGTCTGGGGGTAAACAACCTATCTAAATACACAGGCCACCTGCAGGGGGCAGAGAGAGACGACCCCCCCCACACACACACACAGGCAGGTCCACCTCCTGAACCTCAGCACCGACCAGAGAGACCTTATTTGAAAACAAATCTGTAGCCACGTAAGTAAACATATTAAACAGAGATGACCGTGGATTACAAACCCAACTGCTAGCATCCTTATCAGACACTCAGAGGAGCCACATGATGACAGGCCACAGTGCAGGGTGAAGCCACCGCACGGGGCTCTGAAGAGGTGAGGGACACTACAGCCTTCGACAAGCCCTAAGAGCTTTCTTACTCTCTTCTCCCAGAGACAGGGTCTACCATCTCCTACATTCACCTTGATCCCCCTGCCTCTGCCTCCCCAGTGCTAGGATTACAGGGGTGCACCATCACACCCAGTCCTGGGCCACCCATATACTGGTGTCTGTCATTTACAAAGTTCCATGTGGTCACGGGCAGGCCCAGAGTCAGCCAAAGCTGGAAAGCTGCCTGCCCCATCCCACCACGAAGGACTGTGCCCTTGCCACTGCGCACCAAACACACCAGCAAATCCACGACTGGACCACGACACCAGCCAACTCCAGGGTCCACCGGGGACTCCTCTCCTTTGGCTCTGGGCTCTGCGGGTCAGATGCACCCAACACAGAAGTAAATCCCCTTGGCCAAGAGACCACCTGGTGGCAGCCGCCTGGAAGAGGGGTGAAGCTCTTCCCTGGCCCCAGCATCACCCCCTGTCATGCAGCCATGATCGGGGCGGTGTGACCTCGACCATGCACAGCAGCACTAACCCCGGGGATAGTCTTAGTTCCACACCGCTCCAATAAAATGCCCACCGCAATTTCGCACCCAAGGACAAGAACGCCGCACAGGCACTACCAGCTGGTCTAGAGGGTTCTCTTGTGTTCACGTCCTTCCTTCCACCCCATGGGACATAGGAACACCGCCCCCCCCCCCGTGGGCTTCAGGGTCTCTCTCTCCCCCTCTGGTAAAGCAAAGGCTTAACTCGGGTCTGGCATAGCACTGGTGGGTGGGCCCAACTCTGGGAGGGAAGGAGACCTAGTTTATGCTTCTCTCCCAAGCAAAGCTGTGACCCAAACCTCTAACATGGTCAGGTTCCAGGTACTGACCACAGGAACCTGACAGGGCTGGGTTTCTAGAAGCACAAAGAACATTCATAATCCCTCATAATTCCCCTCTGCTGTGTGAGCCGGGAGGTCGTCGAAGGTCCTAGCTGTCATCGGGACCAGCTTCCTCAAGAACGGGAGTATATAGCATTTGGTGCATAAACAAAACTCACACTCAAGACGCACAGCTCCTTCTGGCCAGTCTTGCCCTGCCCAGGCCACTGCAGCTTATGCCAAAGCAGCCGACCCTCACTCACCGCGGGTGGTATAGCCGCCAATGACGTAGATCTTCCCCTTGCACTCACAGGCGGAGAACTCAGCCAGAGGGCTTGGCAGAGGAGCCACAAAATTCCATGCATCCTGCTCAGGGTTGTAGCATTCCACGTTAGACACAGCCTGCCCGCCGATGGCATAGAGCTTCGAGCCGACAGCCACGAGTTTGAAGTTAGAGCTGAAAGAAAGACGCAGGCCCACAAGGTCAGTTCCAGCCAGGATGTGGGGAGAGGATGCTCTCCAGCCAAAGGTGGGACACCCTGCTGCCTGACAGGCGGGGCCCACAGTGACAAGGACCAGTCCTGCTGGAGGGGCTGCTGCCAGGAACCAGGGTACCTGCTACACACTAAACTCAGCTTCCCTCGCCAGAAGATGCCGTGCCTGGATCCAGCCAGCAGCTAGGCCCAAATGTGTGAACCGCACATTGCATCTGTACTGGACAGGTACTGACATCTCCCCTTAGATTACACGGCGAAGGACTGTCTACAGAGCACATTCACTGATTAGATCTCGCATGAAGTCCAGAGAAAACTTCAAGGACAGGAAGATGTCCGAGTGCTGTGCAGCCCATGGCATTTTACAGACGAATCTGGAACCAATCCCCAGCCATACTCATCTTTGGCCCTCTGTGTCGGAGTTTCGGCCTATCGTGGCAGGAACAGCATGAAGAACAGGTCACAGTGGCAGGCCATGAGGCTGTCACCACAGCAGAGCCAGCAGCTAGGTGTTCCACAACCTCACCAAACAGCCACCACCAGTTGGCGGAAGGAATACCCAAGACTAGTCTGGAGGTTGGGGAGGGGCAGGAAGCACTGGAGGGGACAAGGAAAGTCACAACCCACAGATGCTATAACATGACGTCCCAAGGGCACACACAGGAGAGAAGGTGTGGGCTGCAGCGAGGACTCGGTGGTAAGAGCTCTGGCTCAGTTCAGTTCGCAGCACCCACACGGCAGCTCACAACCTCTTGTGACTCCAGCTCCCGGGGATCTGACGCCCTCTTTGGCCTCCTTGGGCACCAGCACGCATGTGGCAAACAGACATACAGACATACATTTAAATATTTTACAAATAAGTCTTTAAAAGAGTGCTACCGGGCGGTGGTGGCGCACGCCTTTAATCCCAGCACTTGGCAGGCAGAGGCAGGTGGATCTCTGTGAGTTCAAGGCCAGCCTGGTCTACAGCTTTAGGACAGCCAGGACTGTTACACAGAGAAACCCTGTCTCAAAAAACAAATGTGTGTGTGTGTGTGTGAGAGAGACAGACAGACAGACAGAGACAGAGCACAGACTCACCCCTAGGCTTTCACCTCACAGAATGGCTAGTTCATTTTTCCTCAGAGAGGAGGTTCCATCCAGGTACAACACAGGCATTAGCAGGTGGCCACCAACACGGACCCACCCACTCACCAGAAGGTAGTTCATATACTCAGTTGCTATATATAAATGGAGAGGGCTTCAGACACTAAGTAAGACAAAGTTAGTTTGTTCTGAGGGAGGCTCCACCTCTCCGCAGAGACAACAGGCAGTGAGCTACAGCGCAAAGGCTGGGCAGCCCGTCCATTTCAAGTAGGCATCCAACATGGGGGCATCTCACCCCAGAGGCTAAACACGCAAGCAAGAGACGCTCTCGGCTCAACCTCGAGGTTTTCTGCTGCGTGAAATGAGGGTGCTGGGCACAGCACCAACAGGGATTACTCCAGAAAGAACTACCCTGGAGAAGAGATAGGACAGTCGCTACAAAGGCAGGGGGCCAGCAGAGACTGTGGGGGGGGGGGGACCAGGACACACAGCAAGGCAGATCTTACACCAGCAAGCCATGAAGAAGGCTCAGTGCTCCACAGGTGCCTGGGTGCACAGGAACTGCTTTCATTTCGTTTTCCAAGCGAGAAGGCGAACCCAGGGTTCTGCACCCACAGCCTCAGGGCCATTAAACCCAGCCAGCCATGCAGATAGACTTCGCCCTGGTGGCAGCTCCTGGGGGGTCCCCGATTCATGCTGCTTGCTTTCCCACTGCCAACGGCCCTTAACGTCCAACCATGATGCCCACTCTGGGTGCAGATCTGGTGAACCAGAGGAAATAACATTCGTAAACATGCACTAAATCCTGACCGGCTCAGGTTGGTTTCCCTTCCCGAAGGAACACAGATACAGTGCGTGCGATTCATCCTGCACGGTCATCTGTCTTCAGCAAACAGGTGAGGGGCTTTTTTTTTTCTTCCCTGAGACCAATCAGACAGTCAGCTAAGTAAACAACTCCGTCCCTCCAAACCCCATACGTGCAAGCTCTGGTCAAGAGAAACGTTTATTAATGTTGGGTTTGCTTGCAGAGAGGCTGGCTGCCTGAAAACAAACTGATTGCTAAATTTAGAGGTTCACTACTGAGGGCTCCAACTCCAGCCTTGCACAGGGGTCTGAAGCTCACTGCTGTCCAGCTGTGCGACCCGGGACACTGACCCAAGCTCGATAGATATGTGCCTCAGTTTCCTCCTCTCTGAAGCAGAGTCAAGCACTGAGTCTGCTCTGGGGGTTAGGGAGGGTGATTTTTCCTCATTTCCTCCTGTCTTACGCCTTGGGTTTTTTGTTTGCTTTTTAAGATTTTCTTATTTTTGATTGCACACTAATGAGGGGGTGTGTATGAGTGCAGGTGAATGTGGGTGTCCCCGGTGACTATGAGCCACCTAAAGTGGGTGCTCGGAGCTGAGCTCAGGTCCTCTGGGAAAACTTGCAGGGGTAGGTTCTCTCCTTCAGCCACAGGCATCCCAGGGATGGACTCAGCTATCAGGCTCAGCAGCCTCTGTACCCACCGAGCCCTCTCTTCAGCCCTGAGCCCCAGTTTCCTAGCTCCAGGAGGGCTGGTGTCTTACAGCCCAGATGCCCTCCAGAACTCTGCATGTTGTGTTCCTTCTAAAAAAAAAAAAACCCTTAGCACCTCATTTCCAACTTGTGAAAGCAGCCCCCACTCATCAGCTCAGGAGTGTGACTGTGCATGTGAGCCACCCATCACTCCATAATAACCTTTTCTCCCTTCGCATTGACCCCAGCACACTGTGATTGACACACACACACATACATATATACACACTTACTGTATCGTATATATATATATAAACACTGTGATCATATAGCCTGATGACTATAGAGAGCATGGCTCAGCATACTTGAGGCCCTGGGTTCCATTTCCAAAGCAGAGATGAGCTTGGGGGGTGGAGGGAGGGAGAGGTCTGTGATTCCATAGATTCCACAGGGTGCCTTTACAAGTTCAAAGCCAGCCTGGGCTACACAGTGAGAGGCCAAGCTGAGCTATTACAGCAAGATCCAAACTCAAACATGCACTTCAAACCTAAGTGATGAGGACTTTGCTACGGCCGGGCCACCGACCAAGAGGCATGGAAACCATGAGGAGGCCGATAGCCCAGATGGAGCCTAGCCCTGGGACGGTGTGAAAAGGAGCTAAACTCGCTGGGGTCTCACAGAGCTGCTGTGGCTGATGACAGAGTGAGCATTAACCCCTGACCCACAAAGAGTTCCGGAAACAAAAACACCACCATGTCTTGCTACAGACAATTCTGTTACTGTGGCTACACTCCGCCCCGGCCTGGACAGTGTGCAGGGCCCATCCAGTCCCTCTGTAGTGACCTCCGCCGGGGACCGGGATGAGACGAAGCTGGAAAACAGAAGTGCTCATTGTGGCCTCAACCACCTGTGGGAAAGCAAAATTCAAAAAGCAGTTTCAACTGTTGGCCAGAGCTCGGCTGCAGAGGTTAACAGGCCTGCCAATTTCTCCCCTTCCCTGGTGTCAGGCCCACAGCCGTGTGGGCGCCACAGCTGAGCACAAAGCCTCCCAAGGGTCCCCAGTCTGACTGACTGTCATCCGTAGGGCCTCCCTGGCCTTGCTACATTCACACACAAGCAGGACTCTCCCTCCCCGCTCCACAACAGAAGTCGGGGCTGAGGAAGAGCCTAGAAACAATCTTGGAAATTTAAAGACATTTCCAAAGTGCTGCTGCAGTCAGTGGCCAGCTCCTAATTAAGGTGGGGAGGGAAAGCAATTTTGTGGTCATACAAGCTTTTACATGTCAAGAGTCAAATGTGTGTTCAGACAATGAACCGGCGGCACGTTACGCATCTGAAAAAGGCCTTCAAAGAAAATGCTGGAACTTGTACAGTCATTTTCTTTTTAAAAAAATTACCTTTGTGTGTGTGTGTGAACATGTACACGGGCCACAGCACACACGGGAAGGTCAAAGGACAGCCTGTAGGGATCAGTCCTCTCCTACCATGTGGATTCCAGGACTCGAACTCCACTCATCAAGCTTGCCGCCACCAGCTGCCTTTAGCCGACTGAGATCCATCCATCTCACTGGCCAGCACGGTCATTTTCAAGCCTATAACTTTACACTAGACCTTGATAAGAAATCTCAAAGATTCACATCGAGACACACAAAGGCAAAATTGAATGACAGGAGGCGGTACCAATGAGTACGCCCGCTCTCTCAGTTCCACGTACAGGAGGTAAGAGCAGCCACACACAGCAGATGCGGCTGATATAACGGCTTCCTACTAGAGGCCACTGGAGCCCAGAGCCTGTGAGTCAGGGCCCGCATGGCATGGCCAGCACCACACTGCTTGCCCTGCCACGCTTCTGTTAGTGGTGATTCGCTTGTTCTCAAGACAGAATAAATGCAGACGTTTAAAACCGGGGTTACCTCAAGTCTGGCCACCCTGGCCCCTCGCTTCCGCCAGGGAATAGCCAGTGCGGTCCTGGGTGCGGGGGCCATCGGTGACACACTGACACCAGGTCCCCCACAACCCCCACTCCCTCCTGCACTCTGATATCACTGGCCCTGCCACTTCAGGACTCCAGATTTGAATCCTACAAAAACACCCAGTGTGCAGGTTCATCTCTAACCGCAGCACCGGTATGATGAAGCAATACAAGGCTTTCCTCACAGAGTTCAAGGCCCACTTGGATACACCAGACCCTGTCTCAAAAAAATTAATAAAATAGCCGGTCGGCGGTGGTTCACACCTTTCATCCCAGCACTCGGGAGGCAGAGGCAGGGGGATCTCTTCAAGTTCAGGGATAGCCTGGTCTACGAACCTACACAGAGAAACTCTGCCTCAAAAAATAATAATAATAATGTAACAAAGAAAACCAAATCAAAAATTATATCCATAGATAGGCATCTGTGAACACAAAAATTTTCTGTGGGATGTTTCTACCCCACTGACACTCCTGAGACTATCAATAAAGTTTGCTTTGAACCAGAGGGCGGAGCTAGCTACTAGCTGACCAGAGTCAGCCATAGAGGTTTTGGAGGACCCAGGACATATAGAGAGAGACAGGAAGTAGTAGGGAGGGGCTTAGAAAGATTCTCAGCCAGTTGGGATCAAAGAGGGAGAGAGGAGATCACGTCTCTGATCAATCAGGTTTTAACCCCATATCTGACTCCTGAGTTCTTATTAATAATAGGATAATTTAGATAATTGTTACAAAAAGTCATATACAATAACCGTTAATTAGAAGAAACATTAAGCATCCCAATAACTTTAGAATAAAAACATATGGATATACATCCCACCCACTCACTAGGGAACATACACACAACTCCCAAACGATAGTGTCTGGCCTATTATCTATAGGAGCGTAAGCATCCATGTGTTTATAACACCTAACTATGACATGCACACTGTTGTGGTTTGGGTACCTAGTGTCCCTAAAGGCTCATGTGTGGATGGGTTGGGCTCCTTGCATTGCTCGAAGGTAGATTTAGAGAGGGTTGAGTCGGGAGGGTTCTGACCTCATCGGTGCATTAGCTCAGGGATGAAATCATGTGACATTGTGACTGGAACCTGATGGAAACCAGGCAGTGGGGGCCTCCCTGGAAGAAGTAGGTCGCTGGGTTGGGGGAGGGGTGGTATCTCTGAGAGATACTTTTCTCCTGTGCAATGAGCTGAGCCACTCTGTTCCACTACGTGTTCTTGGCCCCAAATAATACCCCTCCCCACACACCTGCCCTCCCTTGTTGTCTCAGCCGGTCACCAAATGAAATAATCAAGGGACATGTGGCCATGGTCAATACTGTCAGCTTGACAGGATCCAGAACTACAGAGACAAGGTCTGGGCAGTCTGTGAAGAATGTTCTAGATTAGAATAACTGAGAAGGGAAGACTCTTCCAGGTCTGGGATCCAGACCATAAAAAGGAGAAAGCAAGCTAACACTGGCATCCATCCCTCGCTGCTCCCTGACGGCTTCCTCCGGCTCTCGTCACCACGCCTCCTCCACCCTCCAACCATGCGCCAAAAGAAACCCTCCCTTGCTGGAGCTGCCTCAGGTGCCTGGCACAGCCTGGAGGAAGACGAACTCCAGGTACAGCCCCCCCCACCCCCACCCCCCACCCCCCCACCCCCCCCCACCCCGTGAGGCAGGAGCAGGAACACAACTTGACCATGTCTAAAGAGCGCAGAAAGAACATGGGAGGCAAACGACCGAGGATCTCAGGCTAGACCGGTGAGGAGGCAGGCCTGTGGAGCTAAGGTCACCATACCAGACCAAGGGGATGGGGCTGGAGATAATGGGGAAGAGGTTAGACAGAACGGAGAACCTTCCACCTACTCTCAGAGCACCACCTTCGCTGGTTCAGTCAACTCCTAAAAACCGTTTTAAAATAACACTTTTGATATTGTTTTCTGAAAGGGTCTCTGTAGCTCAAGCTAGAGTACAGAGATCTTCCTGCCTCAGACTCCTACGTCCTGTGGTTACAGGCAGGAGCTAACTGATGATGTAAATATCATAGTGCAGGAGGTTGGATGAAACCCCCCAGCCCCTAGTAGAGCCTCTGGAAGGGAGAGGGAGTGATGCATTCATCTCTTTATTTGGTGCCTGTGTGTGTGTGTGAGTGTGTGTGTGCCTGTGTGTGTGTGTGCCTGTGCATGTATGTGTGTGCCTGTGTGTGTGCATGTGCGTGTGTGTGAGTGTGTGTGTGCCTGTGTGTGTGCCTGTGTGTGTGTGTGTGCATGTGAGTATGTGTGTGCCTGTGTGTGTGTGTGTGCATGTGAGTATGTGTGTGCCTGTGTGTGTGCATGTGCGTGTGTGTGCCTGTATGTGTGCATGTGAGTGTGTGTGTGTGTGCACGTTGTGCATGTGGGTGCTTGTTAGCTCCAGATGCCCTGGAGAAGCAGCTTCAGGTTACGGCACCCAGGTTGGGTACTGGGAACTGAACACCAGTCTTACGAAAGAGCACTAAGTGTTCTTAAACTCTGAGCCATCAGGCCAAGGTATGTTCCTGCAAATAACCTTTGTCTGCAATGGACCAGGCAGTTCCAGTTCAGATTTCTTCCTTCCAGTTTCCAGTCATTTCAAGACAGAGGTCACAGGGCACTTGGGTGGCAGCACATGGCCCCGCAGAGAAGGCCTGTCCCGTCCTGGCTACTCTTCTCACCATTTCTGGGGGCGTGGTGATTGAAAGGAGGCCTCGTGAGCGCTGGCCTGGAACTCACCTGCAACCTAGAGAGGCCTTTAGCTTGGGACCTGCCCACTTCAGCCGTCTAAGCAGCTGGGCAGAAAGTGTGTAACACAAGACACAAGTTCTGGGGCAACCTGGGCCCCTACGTCTGCCTTTCCTCCTCCAAGCCAGCGATGGTCAAGGTAAGAGGGCTCCACAGGAAGGGAAAGGCCAGTGAGGGGAAGGAATGTCCTCAGGTTCACAGTCAACCAATACGAACACGCACGTACAGGCTGGTTTTTGCCATTCCCTGGACGGTAGTCTGACAACACTGACATGTAGGTATATTGCATTTGAAGTTATAACGAACATAGAGATTATTTATTGTAGAAAGACAGATGGGTAGTGCACACCTTTAATCCCAGCGCTCCGAAGGCTAGAAGGCAGGAGGATCACTTGAGCCTAGCAAGCCCAAGAGTTCAAGACCAGCCTGAGGAAGGAACACACCAAGATAAAGGAAGGCCACTGAGCATGAGCAGGAGGGTGTACTAGGGTTTGTGCTACTGGCACAGCTGCAGGGTGCTCAGGCAGACAACACACTGGAGGACAGCCCGTTCTGTACCTGACCACTCCGGGCTCAAGTTTTGGGTCAAAGGTGGCTGCTGTCTAAGGAGGAAATAAACAAATGAAGGGAGAATGGAAGGGAAAAGGGAGTGAATCCCTATATGGCGCATATTAATGTCATCCTAAGGACAGCTGATTCCTACCCAAGTGCAGAAGGATGCAAAGTCACTAACAGCAACAACAAAAGTTCCCGAAGCCGGTGTTAGTTACTGCCCAAGCGGCATTATAATTTGGATCAGACCAGGAAAGAAAAGACGGGGGGGGGTGGGGGGGATAAGACCAGCATTTATCCTTTGTAATATCCTCTGCGAGCACACGGAGCAGAGACGCCAGTTCTAAGGCCCGTACCTGGAAGCAGGTCACTGGGCTAGCTGACTTCCCCCTGGCAAGCCCTGGGCTCCCTGGGAACTCGGCCTGCCCGGGCAATGAATGAAGGGCGCAGGCCGGACTCTTACCGTTTCTGGTTCATGGAGGCCACCTGCAGCCACTCGTTGGTGGTGGGGTTGTAGGAGTGTGCGGCCGAGATCTCCTGGCTGGTGATCCTGTACCCGCCCACGATGAAGAGGTAGTTGTCCAAGATGGCTGAGCCGTAGCCCCTGACGTTCACCAGGTCGGGGGGCAGGTTGTTGGCCAGCGGGAACCAGCGTTCAGTGGTCTCCTCGTACCTAAGCATGGACGGGGGTTCCCCCTGATACGGGTGCGGGGCCAGGGGTCCCCCGAGGAAGTCCCCCAGGGCCACCAGAACCGGGGTCCCGCGCATGCGGGCCTCCCTCAGCCTCTGCTTCAGGCTGCCGTCCCCGGGAGCCTGCGGCGGCGACAGCAGCAGCGGGAACTGCGGTTGGCACAGCACCTGGTGAAAACGCAGCGCCATGAAGCGCATGCAGGCCTCCTGCAGGTCGGGCAGCCCGTACACCTGAGCCAGGCGGTACAGCTCCAAGCAGTTGCCCAGACGCACATGCGACAGCAGCAGGCGCAGCAGCGCCGTGACCTGCAGGAAGGACGCGGCCTCCACCAGCTCGGCCAGCACCTCGTCCTCGCCCAGGCCCCAGCCCTCGCGCGCGCCGCCCGCGTTGATGAAGTCCAGCACCAGGCGCAGGCCCGGCGCGCTCAGGCCGCGGAGCTGCTGCACCTCCGGGCCCGCCTCGGGCCGCACGGCCTCGCGCATGCCGGAGCGGTAGAGCGCGCGGAAGTAGTCGCTCTGCTCGATCAGCTTGCTCTTGCTCACCGGGTAGCAGCGGCCTTCCAGGCGGATCTGTACCACCTCCTCGGCGGCGGACATGGCTGGGCCGCTGCGCCCGCTGCCCCGCCGCGCAGGCTCCTCCCCCGGGCTCGCACCCTCCGCCGAGCCGGGCCTGCGCCCGAGCTTCCTTCCGCCGCCGCGGGCCCCGGGCTCGGCCCCGCCGGCACGTCATGCGCCCTCCGAGTAGATGGCCTCTCTGTGTCTTTTATCGACGTGTCCGTGTGGGTGCGTGCGCGTGAGCTCAGGTGTCAGGAGGCCAAAGGCGGCAGCTGACCCTGCAGCCCGAGGTACTGGCGGTTGTGAGCCGCCCTACGCGGGAACCGAACTCCCGACCTCCGCGGCAGCAGTGTGCACACTTAAGCACTGTGTGCTCCTCCACTGCGGTCGTTAAACTTTTTGTAAGTAAGTGATTAGGAAACAAAGAAACCACCGCTCCGAGTCGCGGTGCCCTCTCCCCACAGCACAAGCCATTGCACGCGTTCCCTGCCGCCTCTCAGCCGCCCCTGCTTGAGTTCTCTGGGACCGGTCAGCACCGCTAGGTTTGGACTGCGACCCGCTTGGTGGTTCAAGAGGACGCTGAAGGATTACTGGAGCTAGGGAGCTTTAGAAGAGTTAACTCCATGGACAAGGCAGGCAGGCAGACGGACAGACAGAAAGACAATGGCATAGCCGGGGCTCCAAGGAGAGTTCAGACCTCAGCTCCAGAGCCAGCGAGCAGGATCTCTGGAGAGAGCCAGAGGCCAAGTAAGCACAGGAAGGGACCGGGGCCGTACATGGAAGAGGACCCCAGGTGCATTAGGCCTGTCACCTCCGGGCAGAAGTCTGACCCTGCTATCTCGCTCTCACACCACCTACCCACCCACCCCCATCACCCCATCCGTAGCTATTAGGAGAGAACACCTTTCCCAGCAAAACTGTGAGGGGGGCCTTTCAGCCAAGGTATTCTCCAGAATGCAAGCAAGGGTAAGGAGCTAGGAAGCACAGAGAATATTCTAGCGAAGTCCAGCCTTGCTAGGGCGAAGAGGCGCGCACACGTGGACCTGGGACTTGGATTCTCTGAGAAACTTGGGATACTGCACGGTGTGATTGATTGACAGGCCTTGAATCGTTCCAGGATGGCTTCCCTCTCAGTGTTTGGGGTATGAGCAGGGTGCAGGTGAGGGGCCAAGGATTTAGCCCTCTCTATGGCGAGGCAAAGTGCCACATCAATCATTAGAGGTTAGGCTGGGGGCTGCTGGGAGGCATGACTTCAAAGGGGCTGGACCTGATCTGCCTGTGCCTGTGTTAGCAACCAGGCGGGATCCAGGGGGTCACCAGAAGGACAGGTGCTTAGTCTCCAGCTCTTTAGAACCTTTACCAATGGGAGCTTTTGTTTCCAGATCACAGATATGCTTCACCTGGTATCCTCTTGCCTTCTAAAGACAAACCAAAAAGCCAACCTTAGAGGCTGATTCTCATTAGAAAGGCAATTCAAGCAGGGTCATTTTACCACAGCCGGATCAGCTGGGACTGGATCCCGAGTGTTCCCAGACAGCACCGGGCACTGATCCCGCAAGGGTTTTGGCCCCAGACAGACAACACCATGACATTGTTAGAAACTGGAAAGGGGGTCTTTAAAAAAAATTCTGTAATTTTAGCAAGCTACACAGCGAGTGTTCTAGAAAGCTGGGTGTAAAGACAAACTTACAAGCTCCTTCCTTACGAAGTAGCTACACTATGATTTCAAGGCTTTGTGAATGTATCGCTTAATGTTATCTTATTGACCAGATGGAGTGGTCATTGATCAGCAAAGAGTGACAGCTTCTGCTCAAAGGCCTGCAGCTCTATAGCTCAGGCCCCTCACAGCCAGCCCTAGGGGACCCCACTGCTAAATGAATATGTTGTGAAATTACCTTCTAAATGCCGTGTTCGTCTGCACAGATCGGTGCTGCTCTCCGCGTTGGACAGACAACTCTCTCTTTAGTAGCAGCAGGGTGGGGACAGACAGCCAAAGTGTTTCAAAGAAGCGACTGAAGGTTCAGCCTCAAATTGAACATCTATACCAACCCCTTCCCACGGTGCCCAGGGAGCAACATGGGAGAGGGCTGGAAGAGCACAAGAGCCGGAGGGTGGCGAGGGACACTGTCTTCTGAGTGTGGTGTGGCCACTGCCCTCATGAGCTCACAGAAGCGATGCTTACCTGCACAAAATCAAGCCGCCACAGTAGACATTCCAGCAGGCAGCACTTAGTGAGCTACCAGAAAGGGGGGGGGGCTGAAGGTGGGAGAGGGAGGTGTGTTGGGAGATGTTTGGAGGGGGGATTAATTAGGGAAAAGAATATACTCAAGATACATTATATACATGCCTGAAACTGTCGGAAGAGGGAATAAATTCTAAAAATATTTTATGCAAAAATAAGCAAACATCCATATCATTAGCATACAAGTTTATTTTTGTTTTAGTAAATGGTAAAACTATATGCATATCAAAGATTTAAAATAAAATTCTTTATGTAGGGTTTGATTTGTGTGACTATTTTATATATTATATACCCGGGGCTAAAGAAAACATTTCTGCCAGGGAGGCAGAGACAGGTGGATCTCTGTGAGTTCAAGGCCAGCCTGGGTTACAGAGTGAGTTCCAGGCTAGCCAGGTTTAGCACAATGAGATCCTGTCCCCAAAGCATGGAAGTGGAAAAGTTCTAAAAGTCTCTCAAGACCAGTGTCCCCAAAAATCTTAGGATGTTACCAGGGACATCTATAAAACTAAAAAATTCTCATCACCACAGCGGATCTGCTGGGTTAGGCTGTTGGGGGTAGGGGAGGGGTGTAAGGCTTTCGTCCAGATCCACATCTCACCTCTGAACTCTCTCAAGAACATCCCAGGGTCGACATGCAGCTCAGGGGTGGACTATTACCCAGCACACATGAGGCCCTGGGCTGCACACTTGCAGGGAAAAGGGAGAGCATCCTATAGAAGGTAACTGTGAGATGTGGCCCGAGGGTCAAAGCGCTTGCTGAGGAAGTCTGACGTCCTGAGTTTGACTCACCAGGATCACGTGGTAGTAGGAGAGCTCTGGGAAGTTGTCTCTGACATGGGCACCACGGTGTGCGTGCGTGCATGTGTGCATGTGTGGGGTGGGGTGTATATGTGAGCATGAGTGTTTGTGGGTGATGAGCAGTGTGTGGGGGAGGGGCAGGCACATGTGTGTTCCTGTTAAAGAACAACTCTGTGGAGTCTGCTCTGTTCTACTTTTACAGGGAGACAGAACTCAGGTCACTAGGCTTGAGGAGCCACATATGCCCTTTAATGGCTGTTGTATTTCATCTACATTATGAATCCTTAGTTTCTTTTAGGAAGAAAGCTCATACTGGCCCTAAGAAGTAACCGGAGTAAGTATGCAATTGGTTTGCAGTTATTGAAAAGTTAAAACATTTTAAATATAGTTTTTCTGTTTTTTTTTTTTTTTCTTTCAAGTTTTTAAAAGTCAAATAAGTACACGAACTGGTTTTCTCGGGAGCCCGAACAACAGAACTTAAAGAAATGAAGCCACAGGCTCTTCAGCCTATACTGATCACCTCACAAAACAAGGTGTTGTCTCTGGAAACAGAGCCTCCCTTAATCTGATGTCAAGAGACTAGGTAATTGTTTTTTCTCAGCAGGATTCTGGGCTAGAGTTTCCCCTGGCCTTCATATCTGCGTAGGAAAGGGTGTCGGTGACTCTTCACTCCCAGAGAAAGAAGAAAAGCTTTGGGGAGCATCCTGTCTTCAGGAGAGGAAGGGTTGGAAGGGTCAGAGCATCTAAACCTGCTGGAGAGGGTTCAGACACGAGGCCGCAGGACCAGCGCTCTCCAGGGGCCCAGCTGTGGAGACAAAGAAGGTGCCGAGCCACCCATGGTCCTCTGCAGCTGCTGCCTCCCTTCGGGACTGAGAGATGCAGGCGGCGGCGGCGACGGCGGGGCTGCTGCTGGGGCTGGCTTGCACCGTGCACGGGCTCTGCTCGCCCTCTGTGTTCTACAGAGACTGCAGGATCCGCCGCTTCCCAGGGCTGTCCCTGAACCTGGAGGAGTCTCAGAAGCTGGGGGCCCAGTTCCTCAAGTACTACTCGGAGAACACCGGCCAGAAGTGCAGCCGGAGCTGCTGCCTCAGGAAGGAGGGTGAGAGAGCCGGGGCTGGGGGATGTCAGAGCACGAGACCCAGGCAGAGGGGGAGGACCAGGGAGGACGGGGGGGGGTGTGGAGTCATCAGAGCAGGTGGTTTTGAACAGGACCTTCCTGGTCTGTAGAACCCAGGGCATCCTGCTGTAGTTGACAAAGAGCTAAATGGATATGGATTTCTTTCAGGGTTAACTAACTCGATTTTATTCATAGCCCGGTGTTTCCAATAAGCTGGGCGCTGTGGCCCAAGTCTGTGATCCGCATTTAGGAGCTAGAAGCCGGGAGATCAAGAGTTCAAGGCTAGCCTCAGCAACACTGTGACTCAAAAACAAAACAGCAAACAAAAAGGATTGGCAACAATTTACTTTTAAACTATTGTTTGTTAGTTTCTAGTTTCTCTTTAAAATATTTTTGTTAATTCTTTGAGAATTTCGTATTTGGATCATATTCATCCCACTAACATTCCCAGATCCCCCCTCCACTCAACTTCAAATTCTCATTTAAAAAAAATAATCCACCGAGCCTCCTTTATGCATGACCATGGATCACTTCCTTAAAGAGCAGTAACTCTCCCTCCCAAGAAGCCCTCAACAGCTCCTTAGTTAGGGGTGGGGCTCCCGGCTGCCTTCCAGCTCCAGGCTGAAATGCAGGCTGGTTTGATCTTGAATTAGCCTTGTACAGTTGTGAGTTCATGGCCCTCCATCTCCAGAAACCAAGTGCTGGAATTACAGGCACACAGCACCACACTTAGTTTAATAATTTCTTAAAATAATTGGTGGTTCTAGTGTCACGCCTATTTTATAAAATGCATCTCTCGGATCCATAAGAAACACGGAGCTCGATGAACAGGAAAGTTAGATCTGTGGATCATGCTGTCTTCAAATTCCCCTAATACACGTCTTTTCTCCGTAACAAATGGGATTTAGATGTAAATATCACCTCTATAGCCACATCAAAGCCTTCAAGGCCACAAGGTCATGCTGGGTGGAGGCCTTGGGTTCCCTCTGCAGCACACAAACCCAGAGAGCTGTCCCACACCTGTAATCTCAGCACTTAGGGGCGGGAAGGAGGGAGATCAGAAGTTCAAGGGTATTCTCAGCCGTGTAGCAGGTCTGAGGCCAGTCTGGGATACATGAGATCTGGTTGAAATAAAAACAAAACAGGGGTTGGGGAGATGGGCCTCGTAGTTAAAGTGTTTGCCAGACAAGTGTGAGGTTGTAGGTTTGAATCCCCAGAACCCACTTAAAGCTGGGCACAGGAGTGTGGCATCTATAATCCCCAGTGGTCCTGGGTGCTGGGAGGCAGAGATGGAGGCTCACAGGCCAGGGTTTCTTTCCTGTCTCCCTCCCTCTCCCTTCCTTGAAGTATCCCATGTCACCCTAAACTCACGGTCCTGACCCTTTCACCTCAGCTTCCGGAGAGCTGAGATTGTAGGTGGGAGCCACATTCCTGGATCCGCAGAAGCCATTCTAAAGGGCTGGAGAGAGGCCTCAGTGGTTAAGAGCATCTATTGCTCGTGCACAGGACCTGAGTTCAGTTCCCAGCGCCCGTATTAGGTGGCTCACACCATCCCTCTCACAGACACACAGATACCCATAATTAAAAGGAGCCAAAACTAGCCTTTCATAAAAAGAAATATCTGTAATAGAAATCACTTTCCGTAAGCCAGATGAGGTGGCTGATGGCTGTGATCCCGGCACTTGGGAGGTCGAGGCAGGGAGATTTGCCTGCGATTGTGGTCTCCTTGGGATACACAAGTCTGAGTTCAAGGCCAGCTTAAGCTATACGGTGAGATCTTACCTCAGACAAAACAATATTGTTCTCTACCACATCAGTGACTTCACCACAAATCTAAATATTAAATAAGAACTTTTTAAGTTCCTTTCTCTTATAACTTCCCAGAACCATCCCCAGGGACTGTTTTAGCAAACTGAAACATTAGTGATTAATTTTGTCCTATTATTTTTCCTCTGGAAAAGATAAGGGATGCAGAAACCCAAGGGTGCCCCAGAAGTAAGAGTAGGTCAGGGCTCCACAGCCCAGAGCCATCCCGACCTGACTCCTGAGCCCTGGCATGCTTCAGGTGGCATACTGTGTCTGTTACCATGCTCCGTTAGCGTGGGACACCGCTGCCCCAGATGACATGTGGTCACATGGTCCCTGATGGCTCTGCAATGGGAATGAGGACTCACCACATGTCAGGGAGGACTCACTAATCCCATGTCAGGGAGGAGCACTCACCCCATACCAGGGAGGAAGCATTCAACCACCTAGTAGTCAGTAGCACATTTTAAGAGCAGATTTAGAAAAGGGAGGCCAATGTGAATATGTGATACATGAATATGTGATATGCAGACATGCCCTGCCAATAATCCCAGATGCCAGCATCCTTCTCTTTAAGACTGATTGGGCTCCTGGGGCAAGGCCTGGACCCAGGTCGATGCCCTCGGGTGCCACGTGATCCTCTGGCTCTCCAATGAGCCAGCTTCTCCACCATGCTGTCCCTGTCAGTGGTGATGCGCTCCTTTTATGCTCCTCCTCCTTCCCATGGCCCCAGAGAGCGTGTTGTCATGGGAAAACAGACAGGTACTTTCCGAAGCTTTGTGTAGAGAGCTGATGCTTCACATGCACAAAAAAAAAAAAAAAAAAAAAAAAACCAACCCTGAGACTACAATATGATGATTATGTGGGGTATGGTGCTGTGTGTCTTTAATCTAAGCCAGCCTGGTTTACATAGTTACATAGTGAGTTTAAGGCCAGTCAGTGCTACACAATGAGTCCCTGTCATAAAAAAATAAATAATCAGCCACTGCATCTAAGGCTGGTTATGGTGGCTCACATTTACAGTCCCAGCACTCTTCAGACTGGTCTACATAAGTTCCAGGCCAGCTAGGGCTACTTACAGACATCCTGTCTCAAACAAAACAAAACACAAAGCTGGGCATTGGTGGCACACATCTTTAATCCCAGGACTCAGGAAGCAGAGGCAGATGGATCTGTGAGTTTAAGGCCAGCCTGGTCTACAGAGTGAGTTCCAGGACAGCCAGGGCTGCACAGAGAAACCCTGTCTGGGAAAATAAATCAATCAAACAAACAAACACTCCAGGTGTCCTCTATGGAAAGGAATGTATAAGAGTGCCTTGAAGTAGTATTTTCTTTCAAATAGGTATATTATATAGTTCCAATTTTGCTTGTTTTTCAAGACAGGGTTTCTCTGTGTAACAGCCCTGGCTGACCTGGAAGTCTCTTTGTAGACCAGGCTGGCCTCAAACTCACAGAGATCCCCCTGCCTCTGCCTCTAAGTATGGGATTAAAGGTGTGCACCCTCACTGCCTGGCCCAGTTTCAACAGTTTTTAAGCACAGCACAAGACTGGGTTAATTCAGCATTCCAGAAAGAAATAGAAGTTACCCAGAGCCCATCTGACTGGCAGCAAAGCCAGGCATGGTGGTTATGTCCCTGTGACCCCGGCACTAGAAGGCTAAGGCAGGCAGATGACAGGTTGGACTGTAAGACTGACTCGCTCTCACACATACAACTGACGGAGCCAGGGTCCTATGCAGATGCCCTTGGCCCTTTCAGTTTCCTGCAACGTGGCTGTCTTCCTCCATGATCCCATCCATGACAACGTCAACTGCCTCCATGTCCACTGCCCAACCCTGGAGAGCTGCATCCTGGAACCTGGGAGCAGCGCCATTCTGTACAACATAACAGCAGGTAAGGGTGCTGCCTCGGAACAGTGCCAGCAGCCTGGAAACTGGCTGGCAACACCAGGCTTAAGCCCCCAGTGTCCCCTGTCTGGAGATGGTTTGGCCACCCAGAACAGACAAGCTCGGCAGCTGGACTGGGACCTCAGGGAGAGCTAAGGTGGGCATTTCCACTGAAGCTAAGAAAGTGCTCACAGGCCGCCTGAGGCTGTGGACATGGGTCCTGCAGTGTGGAGGTCAAGGACCAGGAAGCTCCCCGGGTGGACAACGGCATCTCACAGGCCCCCAGATGATCACTGCAACGAGGGAGACCCTGTCTCATAAAAGAGGTAGATGACTCAGAAACAATGCCTGCAGACACACACGTACACACACGCACGCACACGCACGCACGCACACGGTACTGTTTCAGCACAGAGGTCAGGCAGAGGCAGGCAAGGAACTCTGAGCCACCAACAGGACAGTGGGAAACCTGATCAGGCCACAGACAGGGGGAAATATGGCTCCAAGAGGGCAGTCGTGTCTTCAGATTAACTCTCAGAAACAGAGGGAGTGGGTGCTCTTGTGGTCCCAACACTCTAACTACAGACAAAGTCTGAAACATCACTAGTTCAAGGCCAGCCTGGGCTACATAGTGAAGCCCTGTCTCAACAACAAAAAGAAATACGGAATCAACAAAAGCACGGGAACGAGAAAACACTGCAATTAAAGATATGCATATGGTTGCCTTGGCTCAGGTGGGTAATACCCAGGATACAGGTTAGACACATAGCCAGGGAAGCATTGGACTGACAAGGTAATGGCCACCTTCACGAAGAAGGAAGTTACCCGACCATTGGAAAGTCCCACTGGGACTGCGGGTGTGGTGCTGGGGATGGAACCCGGGGCTCCCCACTTAGCCACACCCCTTTTAAAGGACAAGAACATAGCCCAGGATGAGGGGTGGGGGAAGGCAAGCGCAGAGGTCAGGGTGTGGGCTCCGGGCGGGCTCAGACGATGCCACGCGTGCCCGCCCGGGGTGAAGTGTCTGACAGACCCTGGAAGAACAAGCTCAGTGTGAGAAAGGAAGGCATGACAACATGCATTCAGTCCCACCGGCACAGCGGGGACAGCTGTGGGACCCCTGATGTGTGGGCGGGAAGACAAAGGCGGCTGAAGGCTAAGGATGACGGTGACCAACACCAGGCCAAAACCAGCAGTTTGTGGAGTCTGAACTGAGTGTCCCGCAGAGGCTTGGGTGTCTGAGTTCCCAGTTGGTGATGGTGCTCCAGGGAAACGCAGACAGGAAGGCCTTGCTTTACTTTCAGTTTGCTCTCTGCTTCATGCTTGCATCTGGAGACGCTCAGTTTCCTGCGCTGGCCACCACGCCTGCCGCGCACGGTGCACTTACTTCTGGAACCACAAGCCAACGTAAACTCCGGGAAGTAACTTCTGGCCATGGTGTTTTCACATAGCAGCGGGGAAGCAGCTAACGGGTGTGTGTGGGGGCAGGGGTTGGGGGATTTCATCTTACAATCTTTTCTTTTGGTTAGTTTTTTTTTGGGGGGGGGGGTTCAAAACAGAGTTTCTCTTCGTAGCCCTGGAACCACTTTGTAGACCAGGTTGCTCTCGAATTCAGAGATCCTCCTGCTTCTGCCTCCTGAGTGGCAGAGCGACATGGCCAAAAGCGACTTCCAAAAGGAGTTTATTTTGGCTTGTGATCCCAGAAGTAAGAGTGCACACGGCTGGCAGGCATGGCCAATATGGCCTCCTGCGTGCAGGGAAAAGGTGTGAGCCATCACCACCAAGGGAAGTCAGGGCAGAACTTGAGTCAGGAACACTTACCAGCCTCTTTTCTTGCTCGTGCCCAGCCTTGCGCTCAGCCAGCTTTTTATACAGGCTGGGCCCACAGTGACTGAGCCCTCCTACATCAACCATCAATCAAACATCCCATAGACATGCCCGCATGCCAACTTAATGGAGGCTAATTCCTCAGTGGAACTGGCCACTGCCGAGAAGCTCCCTCTTCCCAGGAGGCTCTAGTTGACAACAGAAACTAGCCAATAAGACGAAGACTACAAACCAGCCACAGGCAGGCAGGCAGGCAGGCAGTCTGGGTGGCCTGGCAGGGAGACTCAAGAGAGAGTCCCACAGTGCTAAGGACAACTGACTGGACACAAATGACCAGGAAGTCAGAACTCAGTGTCTCTGAAGCTGACTTTTACAAAACGGTGAGGGATGAAACATCACTGAGGCCAAACTTGGGAGGAGGGACACAGACAGACAGACGGACGGACAGACAGACAGCACTCCGTGGCAGAGGAACTGGAAAGCAATATAGACTGTTTCTCCACCCCCTTCCCCGAAGACAAGTGTTTGAGCATTCCTAACAAAAAAGGAGTGAGAAGACACAAAACCCAAACGGGTGGGTGTGTGTGTGTGGCTGCTGGCTTTGTCCCCGTTTCAAAGGGCCCCCTTCCCTGGCTGTCTTGCCAGCTTAAAGTGGCGTACGGTATTTCCCATGGCTGCTGGCAGCTCGAGAACCCTGGCACAGTCGACCTAGTAGGCAAAGCCTTCTCCTTGGCACAGCCATATTTGTCCACAGCAGAGAGTGTCTCAGGCCAGTGTTGGATAAACTCAGCCTGCCCTGAACCTCGGGAGTCTGTGGGGTTAGAACTGCAATCTGGCTCAGCTCAGGGAGTCAGTAAGGTAAAACCTCACGGCTTCCCGGCTGTGCCGAAGGTGTATCACTGAAAACCACACCTAATACAGTGCACATACGTTTGTGGAATTTCCAAATAAATAAAAAGTATCCTTGTTTAAAACTTAAATGATTCCATTTCTCTCTCAGGCATAGACCCAGACTTGCTGGTGTTTGAGCATTCATCCTCTGCATACCTAAACACCCGCACCTCGTCTGAATGGCGGGATAGACTGCGGATTCTGAAAGCTCTGAACGTAGGTAACGAAGGGCTACACATGGATGGGATAAAGCGCACGCTGCCATCCACAGAGGCTGCTTCGTCAACCGCACATCGAGATCCGGGTGCAAACACAGGTATCAGTCACTCCAGGAAGTCAACCACAGACCTGGATTTAAGATTTATTTCTGTGAATGTGTCCACTGTTACCAAGGTCAGCACAGACTTCACCCACAGTCCAGATAACATGACTACTCCTTTCTCTGGACTCACAGACACAAACATTTCTCAGGTGCCCAGCCAATCCCGACTCAACATTAGCAAACCCCTGCTGAACAAAACCAAGGGATCCCACGGTGGCAATGACACATCTGAGCAAGAAGCACCCCAGGATGGAGCTCCAGTGACTGCAGGGGCCTGGCTGGCTTCTGTGACCCTGGGCGCTGCCATCGTCTGCCTCTGCTGCTGTGTGGTCACGGGGGCATGCAGATGCTTCGGAGAGCAGCAGGGCTGGTATCGCCTGGGACAGTGGGGTCAGGGAAACACCCTGAAAGGGAGGTCCTAAAGGCTGGAGCCAGGCTGCAAGAAAAAAACATCTTCACAAAAAAAAAAAAAAAAAAAAAAAAAAAAAAAGCAAATAAAGCTATCCCAGAACTCTGAGCCCTACCAAACAGCCAGGGCTCGGTAAAACTGTCTTCTTTCCTGGTGATTTCCATTTCCGGAACCGAGAGAGAGGGGAGATGAAGGAGGAAGGGAGGGGAGGGGAGGAGAGGGGAATCACAGTTGGATGTGATCCCAGCACACTGAAGATGGAGGCAGGGTCAGAAATGACTTTAAGGCCAGGCCAGCCTACCTGAGACCCTGTCTTCAAAGCCAAAGCTCAGGAACTGGGACACGGGATAGAACTGGTTCAGGGTTTGGACAAATGAGCTCGCGCATCGACTTAGACGCAACTTGCTGCTTTCTAGGATCAACTAATTAATGCTGGTCCCCGGGGCCACAGGACGGAAGGAAGACAAACTCCACAAGAGTGCTGTGCGCGCGCACACACACAATAGTAAACGTAATAGAATATCCTCCATGACTGAAAAAAAAATGAAACTTAAAAAATGAAAGAAAAAAAATGACTGGAAGAAGTTACTTCAGATGTTGAAACAAACTGTTCAGTGGCTAAAAAGGTGTTTGTTTCTCTTTCCCCAGGGCTGATAGTGGGTGGGAAGTAGCAATTTCTTTTGATACACACACAGACACACAGACACACAGACACACACACACACACACACACACGGCTAAAAAGGTGTTTGTTTCTCTTTCCCCAGGGCTGATAGTGGGTGGGAAGTAGCAATTTCTTTTGATACACACACACACACACACACACACACACACACACACACACACACACACGGAAGGGCCAGAGAGATGGTTCAGCTGGTCAAAGTCAAAGTGTTGGCCTGCCCACTGGGTTTCACACCGAGACCCACAGAAGAAGTACCTCCCAAAAAGCTGTTGTCTGACCTCCAGCCTGACTTTAACAAGCCCCCCCCAACATCCATACATACATGCACAAATATAAAATAAATAAAATCTATCAAGCAAAACCAGTATGATTTAAAAACTTAATTTGCCTTGACTTGTTCATGATTCAAAATATCAGGCTTCATAAATGCTATCAACTTCTTTGCTAATATAAAGTTCCACATCATTTGTGGGGAGTGTAATTTATTTAAAAACGCTGCAAAGAGAAGTCAAGCCATGCAGCCAGGCTCACATAGGTTTATTGGAAGAGGAGAGAGAAGAGGCAGAGGGGGCATGGCGGGGGCAGAGAGGGGTCCCTGGGGGTAAGAGTGGCTGAAGAGAGAGAGAGAGAGAGACAGGAGGTGGGCGGGGCCCTTTTAAATGGGAACGCAGTGAATGTGCTGCAAAGGAGGACTAATCCTGTTAGGACCCAAAGGGCAAGCCAGTACAGGTGCCTGAACGCTGACAGGAAGAATATCCAGATTTTAATTACCATCTTTATTCAACCATTTGTGTGGTAGCACTGCTGGGATTCTTACCCAAAAAATTACATTCAAAGAAGTAATTCAAGAAACTGTCTACAGATTTTTTTGAAAAGTCTTTTCTCTGTGTAACAGCCCTGGCTGTCCTGGAACTCACTCTGTAGATGAGGCTGGCCTTGAACTCAGAGATCCCCCGGCCTGCTGGCATTAAAGGCACTGCCTCACCCCCATTTTTCCTGTTTTGAGTCTGGGTATATAACAGACAGAGTTTGACCTTGGACTCCTAACCTACCAAGTGCTGAGACTAAGGCATGTGTGAGCATGCCCAGCTCCAAACTTACTTTTAATTCATATGAATTGCTTGGGGGACTTTCCAATACAGTAGGGAACAAAGAGATGTTCCTTCTGGACATGACATTCCTTGAAGAGTCTCACAGAAATGACTACAATTTGAGAAAACCCTATTTACCCTATTTGTAAGGAAACAAGTATGCCCAACTCTCCTTCAGATGACTTGAGAGGCAAAGAAGACCAGACAGGCAAGAGGCAAACACGGAAGGCTAAAAACACGGGTATGCTCTTGACATTCCAAACTGATGGCAGCCTGAACCCTCAGGTCAGCCTGAACTGGCCAGAGTTAAGGCCTCCAAGGCTGTCCTCACTTCTGACCCAAATGCAGGTTTTTGGTGTTTACAAAACCACCCTCAGGCTGGGACACGTTAGTACTCAGGGCTCAGCCAGTTACCCTTCAGGGAAAGGATACAGGTTAACAGGGCCCTGAGAACAGGAAGGGCTGGGCAGAAGTTCTGAATGCTGTCCCTCAAAGTTCTCTCTTTGCAGTGAGGCCACACCTCCGTCCTGTGGTGATACTTTGTTTCTGATCTAACAAATAAAGCTTGCCTTAAGGTCAGAGTGCGCAGTTTGCCCACACTAGTCAGCCATAGAGGCCAGGCAGTGGTGGCGCACACTTTAATCCCAGCACTCGGGAGACAGAGGCAGATGCACCTCTGATAGTTCATGGGTTACAAGAGATTGAATCTGTCCTAAAGAGAAACAGCTCACAAAGATGATCCTAGTATCTGGGATCGCACGCCTTTAATCCCAGCACTAGGGAGGTGGAGGCAGAGCTGTGTGGAGACTCCAATATCTGACTCTGAGGTTTTATTATTAAGAACAATTAGAATTTGTACTATGCTCTCCAATGTCACCATATGACGGCTGCACAGACAGTCCAGTCGATGTTCAAGGAGTTTTTATGTGGTTTTATGATGGGTTTTGTTGGTTTATTTTTTTTTCCTCCCCTTGAGACAGGACCTCCTGTAGCCTGTGCTGGCCTTGGCTTTGCACATGCCAGGATTACAATAACTACAGTCTACCTTACCTGGCTATCCAAAGAATTCCTGCTGTTAAGTTACGTTTACAAGGCAGAGCAGAGCTTGGACAAAGCTGGAGCAGGTGAGCAGCAAGTTTGTCTAGCTGCTGTCCGTGGCAGAGTGCAGCCCTCTGTGAGGCTGTCCACTGAGGGCCACAGAGGGCCAGTGAGAGCCACTGAGAGCCACTGAGGGCCAGTGAGAGCCACAGAGGGCCAGTGAGAGCCACTGAGGGCCACGAGGACCACTGAGAGCCACTGAGGGCCAGTGAGAGCCACTGAGGGCCACGAGGGCACTGTCAGGCCTCCTCAGTAACCAGAGTCACTGATCAAAGGCAAACACCAGAAGTGGAGACAAGGCAGCTAAGAAAATAACTGTGCTCACACAGGCAGAGGAAGATTAGAGGCGTTGTGTGCAAACACTCAGAGCCAGGGAAACCATGGCCTGCCAGCAGGTGCCCCGCCCCCTTGTAAGCCAGAGAGCCCCAAAAGCACCCTGAGGTGCACAGCAGTGTGAAAGGAGCAATGTTAACTCGCGTGAGACAATATTCTTACATGTGTTCCCATTTATATCAAACCAGTGACGGCATACATCATAAAACTGGCACAGCAGACGTCCAGTGTAGACTTCAGGCCAGATTTAACAGTCTCTTTACAGACTCCTTGTACTGAGTGAGGCTCGCCTCGGTCTCGCCCTCGTTCTTGAGTCGAACAACACAGTTCTGGTAGTCTCCAACCTCCTTGGTCCCCAGCAGCTGCTCCCTGCTCGGGACCATACTGCTGTCTGCGGCTCTCATCTGCAGCAGGGTTTGCAGAACGTTTCTCTCTGAGGAGCTGTTTTCCCACACATACTCTTCCATGTCTTCCTCGGTCTTATTTTTTTCCCATTCTTCAGTTTTCTGAAAGAAAAAGAGAAGTTCGGTGTGGGATAACTAAGCCCCAATGGGCCTGGCCGCTGGCCTAGAGCATGCGCAACAGATATCTCCTGACCGCCAGCCTGGGTCAGCCAGAGGGCCTTGACTACAGCACAGGAGAGATGACGTGCACCTACGGACAGCAACCCCGGCACCTCAGCAGATGCAGCTCAGTGGCTCTCCTCCCCTGGGGCACGGTTACGGGGTATATAAGGCTCACCCCCCTCTGGAATAAACTGAGCTTGTTGATTCAACTTGTTGGAGATGCCTGTGTCATCGGTGTCCTGCCTACTCTCCCCTACCCCCAAGGGACACCCGCTGGGATCCCGCAACAGTTGAGAACTCGGGGAAATGCTATCGAAAGACAAAGTTCCTTTGTTTTCGGGAAGAGGGAATATATTCACGGTCCCTGTCCACACTATGCAGTGACAGCCATGGACACAGCTCCAGCTACACAGTGCCCCCCCCCCCCAAACTTCACTTCTCAGACGGAAAGTTCTCTTGCAGGTGGCTAGTCTAAGCGTGCCCCTTCAAGCCCCTGCTCTCGCACTGTCCTGGAACACAGGGTGGGACGGGTCTGCTGGGCCTGAATCATAGCACATCAGCACTTAAACTGGACGACATGTGCTGCCTAGTCTGGCCTCAAAATCCCCGCGGAGCCGTGGGCGGCCCTGAACTTCTGACCTTACTGCTTCTGCCGCCCAGCTGTTTAACCACACCTATGGACATCTCTCACATTCCCACAGTTTAAGATAAGGAGCTGATAGAAGTCTTATCTTTCTAACACGTGGGCATCACAGGAGACAAAGCCATGACAGGTAAGCCAGGAAGAGGTGGACACATCTGGACGCATTCACAGTTGTTTTGGCAGAGGAAGTCATGACGTGGGGGACATATATGGATAGACAGTTTTTGCTTTTTGTCACGGCAGCTTCATGTCCTCCACGGCTGTCTTGTTATTTCACTTTCTGTTCCTGTACTAACAGTACTGGTGTCCTGTTACCATGTCACCTAAGGCACACTGTGCGCAACTGAAACGGCGGCTCACAGATGACAGGCGACAGTCGGCAGGCACGCCTGTGCTCACCTTTAATCCCACGCTCAGGAGGGAGCTAAGTGAGATAGGCCAGCCAGGGCTACAAAGTGAGGCCACATCTAAAAACAGCAGAAGCTCCTCCTCCACCCTCCAGACTTTGTCAAAGACACAAAGGCAGTAATATTGTTCATGAAGCACATCATTCTGGAATATTCACTATTCAAGAAACACAAACACATCATCTTACAA